ACGGCTATACTTAGTCTTTGAGCGAGAAAAGAACCAGCCCTCTTATCATCAACAGCAATAACCAGCCTCAGATGGAGTTCCTTTAGGAACTTCATCGCTCGTGGACCCCACGGACCGATATTCTCTACAGCAAATGGCACAAATATGTAGTCATCTCTCAGAGACTCATATTTGCGCCACTTACTCTAAACGAGGTAACTCTGAGATGAGAGGCCGCCAAAGTGTCTACGCAAGCAGCATCCCACACTAGGGCTTTACCTCTCTCCCAAGGGACCAATGTCATACCGTCGGGTCTCATGGCCATCGTCTCTAAATATTCCACAAGGCTCTAAAACCGAGGGAACATTTATTGAGACAAGAGCCCTTCGGATGACATCGTTCAAAGAACCGTGCCGTAAAAACCTACCAGCACTTTTCTTACATGAAAGTCCGTGGAGCCTATTCTATTCTATTCACGTCAGTTAACTACGGTCTTCACCATATCAAAGTAACAACAATATTGATTAATTTGCGTCATATAAACAAAGTGAATACTTCTTTGATCTAGTGAACGTTAACGCGATTGCTAATTTTGCGGTCCAAAATCAGTTGGTGGATTTTCTGTCAAGAAATTCTCAGAAACAGCCTGGACTCAGGAAGTTAACGATGTTTCACCACCATTTCCGTCTATTACAGACTATAAAAGTCCGTTACTGAGTATAGTCCTTTCCCAAATATTCCCTCAGAGACCGCGTGGCTCGGAAAGCACATATAGCTGATCTCTCTCCAGTCGTGTCGGATTGCCATCCTAACTATGAGGGTAAGGTAATAGATACAGCACGAGACCTGAAGATAGCATTCAGAGCAACCTTTCGTGGTCTGTCTGTGGCACCTATGTTCAATCGCGCTTAGAACGATTCACGCAAGACCAACATCGGACGGTCACTCCTCTTTACATTCTGACAATGTTCAACAAGTCCACAAACAGACTAAGTACGGGATCCGACTTTAGTACGCGTATATATAGCGCTTTTTCGCATCCAAATTGAAGCAAACTGATCCCACAAGAATATCAGTAACCTAAGATCGGATTAACTATACAGAGACGGTGCCCATTTAAAGTACAGTACAGACGACGCCTTTTTTACAAGGTAGAGCCACGCTGCAGCCATATTATGGCTGTAGCACGAATGCGTCAGCTCGAAAAGGGAAAGACCACACTCTCACAGAATACCAGCGTAAAATAGCACGTTCATCCTTCTGTTTCTGTAAGTGTAGAGAACCGGAGACCCTTATTATTGGAAACGGGGCATTCTATCTCAGTCCTCAGGGGTGACAAAGCATCTACATTTTTATTGTTAATCGAAAATACATGTAGATGTTTATGGGTCACAGCATCCACTTACTATAAGTTGGACTGCATGCTCGCTTTCTTTTTCTTATAAAAAAAAACGTTACTTCTACACTAGGATTTTCTTCTCTATCGTGGTAGTTTACGTACACAAATTGCACAAGGGCAAACTTCCAGACCCGGAACAATTAATTGTAGGCAATACAATAAATACTTGTTCCGCGGCCCTCAGCGCTGCAACTCATTGCTAAGACACTGCGCCACGGAACCGTCGTCCTTTCCTGCGTAGATGGTTAGTCTTCGTTGAGACTGGCCACCGAGACCGAAATTCGACATTAATTATTATATTAAGAAAATTAATATCAAAAGCTCTAAAAATGGATAAAGGTACCGAGGAAAAACAGAAAATTCGAGTCAAAGCTTGCCTTAATTTGTTTAATCGATATACAAACGGAAGGATTCTGAAACGGATTATTACTTGTGATGAAAAGGGAATCCTGATTGGACCCAAGAAAGGCTATATAATATGACCCAAACGTTAGAAAACATTAGAAATCTCATTGAAGTTATGTGGTGGATATTTGTTTATTAGCTTTTGGAGACATGACGCAAAAATTACTGTAGAAGCATACTATACAAAATCATTAATAAGCACCACAACTTGACATTATCTCTAATCCACAATAGAGCTCTTGATACACGGTATTACGGATTGTTTCAAAATAACATGAGCTTCGACTGGAAGCTTTCAATCTGTACTCAACAGATCTCGCTCCTACTGATTTTTTTCTGAATTTGGGAGTTATCCCAAAAGCGTTTTAGTTCCAATGATACGGTGAAAAAAACGTCTTCAAGCCTTCGTCGCCCGTAGCCAAAAATTTTATAGAATACTCAATAAAGATTATCCATGGCAACGATTACTTAGATAGCTACTTATTTAATTTAAGTAATACGTAGGCATATAATTTTAAAATAATGCTCTTTGATTTTCTTTTTTTAAATAGAAATTTCTTATGTAGGTACCTAAAATTGAAGACCTGAAGATATAAACAGTAAACACCGAAACAAATTATACCTAATATTACTACAATTAATCACATTAATATTACCAAATTATCGGAAAAGTTACTGCAAAATTATTACATTGGGTAATTATCGCATTGAACATGGATTCATTGGAATTAATAAACTCATACTAGGAACTAATATTAACTAGGTACGTCATAAACAAATTTAAACATCAAAGATAAAATTAACTTTACACCTATGCAACGTTTTACATAAATTTACAAAATGCATGATTGTTAGTACGTATTGTACCTACCTAGGTACATATAGTCACAAAATAAATATTATTTTGGTACCTATGGTTCTACTACGTAATTAAATTAGTAAGTAGCTCCATAATTCTTAGATTTTAAAAAAATATTTTTCTGCATTTAAGTACCTACACTGTCATCTACGAACCTTTACAAAAATATATTTTATAGGCGTCAAACTTTACTATTATATCATTTTTATTGATAGTCGCTACCGTAAACCTACGTAAGTACCAATATAAAAATAACCCCGAATAATATTAACTCCTTAGAAGAATGAGTAAACCTACCCCGCGCGCATCTAATTATTGATCATTCTGCATTTATATTATATTAGCTACAAAATACCAAATGGTTACACGTGTCGATTCAAACTGAAAGCACTTAGCCTTGAGAATATATACATACATACAACCATTTATCAATTACGTAATATTATCGTGTACGCTTACACATACACTCCTTATTAATGTTAACAAATGAAACATAACTTTACAAACTTTATAACATGTATATTCATGGCATTACTTAATGCGAATTACTAACCTATTAAATAATAAAACAAATTAGAATATAAAGTAACCTAAAATGTCGTGCGCTGACGACGTTTCGTTCTGAAAAGCGTGTCAAAGCGTTTATTAACCGCGCCGAGATATAGAAAAGTTGTTTTTGAACAAAGAGAAGTGGACACGAGTCGAAAATAATATCGTGGAGAGGCCCAAGAACTCCGGGCGGATGTTATATAGCTACGTAGATAAAACCTTCCGCCGACGACAGCGCTGCTCGTGGCGGACGAGTGAAACGCAACTTCATGCCGCGTATACCTCGCCACAAAAGTTTCGATGCATTGATTATTTTTAATTTTATTTATTATTTTATATGATAATTTTATTGAAACCTTATTTCATAGCCGCTTGTAAAAATATTTTAATAATATATATTTGAATCTCAATAGATTCAAATAAATTATATAAATGAAAGCCAACGACCTGGTACGGCTGCAGGAAGTCTATGGATGCAGGTGGGTCGTGACCGTGTTCAGCAGTGGACTTGTGAAGGGCTGTAATGGTGATAATGATGATGATATAAATAAAATAAATTTAAAAAACAATAAACAAAATAAAATAAATATGTACTATGCATTAGATATTTGTAATAAATAAACAAATAAATAGTGACAAACGTATATGAAGATAAAGATATATATAATCTATATATCTTTATCTTCACATATAAAAATTACGTGTCACATTGTTTGTCTGCGATGAACTCCTAAACTATTGAACTGATTTCAATGAAATTTTGGATACTGTGTGCAGTTTGGTCCATCTTGAGAGATAAGATACTTTTTATCCCGATAAGTGACCTTCAATATTTTTTATTGCGAATTTAAGGATTTTTTCATAGGAAGGGTCGTAGGAAAGGACAAAACAACGTCTGCCTGGCCAGCTAGTATATATATATATATATATATATATATATATATATATATATATATATATATATATATATATATATATATATATATATATATATATAAGTTAGGGTTTCTTTGTCACTTATACGTTGTATGTCATTCATCAGATTACGATGAAATTTTGCCCAGTTGTGTGCACGCCCGCGAAGGTTTCCGACAAAATATATAAATTATGATATGTGTATGTTTGATTGTTCGTTTTCTATGCGTTCCTATGCCATTCATTTGATAAGAATAAAAATTTGATAACCTGTCGTACGCGCGCCCGTGAATGTTTCCGACAGCAAGTGTAAAATTAAAATTTTTGTACAATCGACTTTAATATAAATAAAATGAGAACATCATCAATATAATTAAAGTCAATTAAATAAGCATTATTAAGGATATTTCAAAAACTGCTAGTCAGATCTTGATCAAATTTATATGGAACCACATGAGAAGCACGAGATTTCAAATAAAAAAAGAATCATCAAAATCGGTTCACCTAAAAAAACTTTCTGCGGTGACACACATTAAAAAAATTACAGTCAAATTGAGTACCTCCTCCTTTTGAAGTTAGTTATAAAAGTGTTGCAATGAATACCGGACACATCTAGTGAACTTTTATTTCTCAAAAATTAGACTTTTATTTCTTTAATATTAATAATAATTTGTATATTATAGTGTATTAGTAGTATAATAATGATTTATAAATATTGAAAATGGAATTCGAAAAAATTGTAAATAGCATGTCTAACATTTAAATATTTAATAACCTTAAAAAAATATTATGTTAAATTAGCAACTATTGAGGTTTTACAATAAAATTAAACATAACCAAAATAAAACAAGATATTTTTCAACTAATTATTTATTATTCAACAGAACATATTATTTAAAATCCTTTTGTGTGTGCCCAATCGCGAAGTACATTGACATAATCTCCTTTCACTTCTATGAATTTTCCTAATTCGTGGACTTTAGTTTCTACGTATCTTTTTGCCGCTTCTTTCAAGTATATTTTAATTTCATCGTTCAAAAGCCAAATGTCGCCATCAATTTTTCGAATTTGGGTTATTTTACGCATGCCTCTAAAAGTTATATTTAAGTAAATTGGAAGTTCATGATTTTTTGTTCTTGATACAAAAAATGGCAAATTCCTGGCTTCCTCCCGCGGTGGTATCCAGCCTGAAGGATATTTTTCCTTTGGTGACACAGCTGGAATGGTATCAAAAGGTAGAAGCCTCTCTACGTATGCCCATTCTGGCGGATTTTTTACAACATCAAATTCATATTGATCCTTCACTTTGCTTACCAATGGAGAGTGCGCATAATTAGAATAATTCCTGGATACCCACGGAACCTGCAACAGACATAAAAAATACTTTTATTTCTTAACATCTACATCTGCTCAACCAGCTTGCCAAACGTGACAACTGTGGCAAATGTGTCCCTATGAGGCAATCTATTGTGGATGCTTATGTTTAGCTATGGACTTTTTAATAGACTGCAATAAATGAATGAAAAAAATCATAATGGCTGTTGTTACTTTTTAATAAAGTAATTAAAAATGTAAGAAATATAAATGTAAAAGGAAAGTTACTTGTTAAATGCAATTCATAAAGTTCAATAATTAAGTTGCATTTCTATCTATTTTCTTGAAACACAAATTAAATATAAAAGATACAAATAAACCTGTATATACAAATTATTTAAATAATATTAAACATATTCAAGAAAAAAAATCGTATAGATAGTTATTAAAAAGAATAACTTTAATCCGAAAAATAAAGTACAGAGTTAATTCATGAGAGTAAAGCTGTGGTAACAAGTGTACGCCCATAGTAATGTCACGTGTCGCAGCTAAAGCGACATTAGAACACGGCGCGAGTGAAAATAATTGAATAATTACCGATTGTGGTCCCAGGGAGAGTTTTGTTCCCAAATCAGAAGAGTTGTTCGGGATCTGGGCGATTTTTCCAATAAAAAATCGTGTAAACGCACACTGTGAACGCCACACGGTCGCCATTTTGAATAGCGAATAGAGCGATTGCTTGCTACAAGAGCAATAAGAACTATATTATTCGTTTCGAAGGAAACATTATGGCGGACGCCTGCAGACATTCGGGCTTTTCAAAAATCATTTTCTAAGTTTTATTACGTGTTTTTATTGAACTTTTTCGCATATTATGGTGTATTGTGTGCCTAATTAACTGTTTATTGTGGTTTTTGGCTGTTTCGTTGGATAAATTGTGAGTATTTTGTGAGGACATTACTGAGGTGCGCCACGGGTAGGGAAATGATTTGGTGCTTTCTGTGGTCGACGCACACGCACTCACTCAGCTGGTAGGTGGCGTTAGGTGTCACTTGTGAGTTAAACCACCAAAACATAAGATTTTCATGACTTTTCCGGCGGGATTTTCTAAGTAACAAGCACCGTAAAAGTAAGTTTTGAGTTATATTCGGTATTATTAAAGCTTATTGTTACTTTTTATGAAGTAAATTACGGTGTAACTAAAATAAAATAGTGTCAAATTAGTGCGCGAACTTGACGATTATAGTGCTAATACAATGTTTACCACGGTGTTTTTGTACTGATTTCTGAAGGATTTCTTGTAAAGTATTCGATCAAATTAACTTATTCATTAACTACATTGCCAATTATGTAAAAATATGATTAATATACTATATTACTGGATACTTTTTTATGTAAATAGTTATTCGTAGTTATTTTTACACCCCTTGTTAAAAGTTTTAATGAGTTAATAATAAAGAAATTTTAATTTCCAGGGCCAGATGGCATGCTGTAGGTGCACGGTATGGCTTGATGTCATGATTATAATAAATAAAGAGTAATAAGGAAAACAATCCTCAACCAAAGCAAGAAGTTATATCATTATTTTAACTAGAAAAATAACTTATTGCAAAGAGTAGTTGAAAGCAAAATAGAATCATCTCGGTTTTGTTGGCTCCTGGTTTAGTACTAAAAGATTTTGACAAATCTCATTATCTTCTTTGATCTAAGATCGTCTTAGAGAAGGTAAACTGACAATTAGCTTTTGCCTGATGTCGGAAGAAAGGAGAGACCTCTCACCACACATTCCAACATGAAAACTAAACAACTGAAAGAGGATTCGGACAAGAGTGTTGATGAGGACACTATAGAACCGAAGACTCGTGCCCGTAAGAAAGCTACAGATACAACTGAAGAAGACAAGAGTAAACCTAATCAAGATGAACAGAAACCTTCCAAAGAAGCCAAAAAAGCTGTGGGTAAACCTAAAGCAGTTGTTAATAAACGACCTCTTGGCATAAGGAAAACTTTAAGGAGTAAAAAAGTTTTAGCTACCAAGCAGAAACTACGGAATGTTGTAAAACTCCCTGTTAAAAGAGGGAGAAAACCAGCAGTAAGAAGTGAACCTGATAATTCTCAAGAAAAAGAAACCGTCCCATTGATACCTGCGTCTGAAATAAAGAAGGAACCAATTGACGATACTACACCCAACTCTAGGTCCTCAAGTCCAAAGACGACTGGCAGAAGGCAAAGACTTAGCTCTGATATGGTCATGATGAAATCTGTCTTAGGAGATTCACCGAATACTCTGGTACTAGGACCCAGAACCAGTCCATACTCAATGCGCTCAGAAAGAAGCAATAGCCCATCAATGTTTGAAGGCAAAAACTTGAGAAGTGGAAAACCTAGAAGTGCTAAGAGTAAACTCCTGAGTGAAGTAGTAATGAAGGAGCAAAAGAAAAGGCGGAGACTGCTCTCAGATTCAAAGACGTCAGAAGCCCCAGAAGCTAGTGAAGATTGTAAGAAATTGAAAAGAGGACGTTCCTGTTCACGAGATGGCAGTGAAATCTCTAAATGCTCAGATATCACAGAATCAGATATTAGTCTGAGTGAAACTCTTAATGACACAGACAGCAAAGAGCTCAACAAAAAATTAGATAAATCTAAGACTGACCTAGATGTAGATATTGAAAATAATGTACAGATCTCGACTGTTGGAAAAGTGCCTTCTCTTAATGTTGACTCCAAATTGTCTGAAACCAAGATGGATACAGAGCCTAGTTCTATTGTAAATGAAAAGGATAAGAAAAAATTGAGCTTAAAAAGAACTACTTCATTAGACTCTGACAACAATAATAGTAATAGACTTAAGTTAGAGAATTTAAATGTATCAGAAGTAGAAGAAAAATTGTTGCCGAAGACTGAAAATGATACGCTTTTTGAGGAACGTAGTAGTATATTAACCAGTATGTCAAAGACATTTAATTCAAAAGAAGTTTCTAAGAATATTAGAAAAGCTAGAAGAGGAAAAAAGGCAGCAGCTGCAGGGAGATCTAGCAGTACTCAAGTTGCTAAAAATGGGATAAGCAGTACAATAACTAATGACCCCTCTGAAGACAAACATGAAACTTTGGACACCCTGTCTAAAGAAATTAATGATCTCATCAATGATCTTGATCAAAACATAGTCCGGGATCAAGAATTAGCAAATGGCACAAATCTTACAATTGATCAAATGCAATCTAAACCTGTTGCCAAGTTCTATGGTTTGTCAAAGCCTCTAGGAGACAATAACAGCATTGTCACACCAGAAACACCGGTTAAAGATAAAGATACAATATCAGCATTAACTAATGAAATAACTCCTTCAAAAATTGATGACAGCGAGAACATAAGGCTCCGTTATGAGGAAGACTCTGTTGAAAAGTCATCCGATGGTAGGAAGCATGAAATACCATACAATTGTCCAACAGTTGCTAGTATAGATAAGCTCATGGATAGGCTTAAGGAATTTGAAGAATTTGACAAGCGAAGACAAAGACAAGAATCTGAATCAAAGTTAAATGATAATAAGACAGTAATGGTGACCAATGATGTTGTACTGATACCAAAGTCTGGTGCAGATATCAAACCTCTTAAAGACATCCAACCTGCAAGATCTCCAGAGAAACTTATTGAAAAGGAAAATGTTCTAAGTTGCTTTGAAAATAATTCTGCAATTTCAATAGTTAAAAGAGATCAGGCTAGAAAATCAATTGATGTGGATCTGCCTAATTCTGTTACTTTGATTAAAAGGAATAGTTTCAGCGCACGTAAAGAATCAACAAACTCAAACCATTCAAAAGAATCTGATGCAATAAGTGTGTTTGAAAAATCCCTGGGTAAAGATGTAACATTGACCGAATTAAGGAAATCAGTAGATAAGGCATCACCTCCAGCCCAAATAGATTTACATCAATTTGCAACACTACATCCAACCCCTCCAAGCCAAGCTCTAGTGGGGATAGTTCTGGATTCAAGTCAGATATCTATTACTCCTCGGGTGGTTGAACCCAAAGTTAATAATAGCGATGTTCAAATAACAAAGCGCAATTCAAGAGATTCGATCTCGAGAAAATCTTCAGAATCTGGTGTCGAAGGTGACGAAAAAATGGCGACTATCGAAAAAATTAAATCACCACCACATCAGGTCAAGTTACAAGTGATATCTGTTACGCCCACGCCAGTCGCTGTCAAATCTCCTGAGGCCGTCCAAGTAATGGAAGCAGAAGCACTTGCCCCGCCCTTAGACAACGTAAAAGCAATACCTGCAAACATATCACATGCATCAGAATCGGTAAAGACTAATTTGAGTACTGAGCCTGAAAATGAATTAGACAAACACGAAACTAACGTCGATGTCCACAATGAGACTGAAAAAACTGAAGCTGTAACAGTTCCCGAAAACGAAACATGTGTTCCTGATATTCCAGTCAAAGAAGACCTTGTTAAAGTTCCGCAAGAAGTTATTACAACTAAGGTAGAACCTGTTAAAACCAAGGAAGACATTGTTAAACCTGTGGATATTATAGAGCCGAGTGAACCAAATAAAACGGTGGAAACGGAAGCCGAAATCATAAAGCCTAAGAGTCCTAAAGTGAAATCGGCGCGCAATTCAACAGAAAGTCAACCAGGTCCCAGTAACATGCTTCAAGAAACACCTGAAAGTCAACAGCGCAAAGAGAATATCCTCCGAACTCTTGGCTTACTGACTCACAAAGCTGCTAATGAGGCTAAAATAGAGAAGTTAAAAGAGAAAGAGCGCATATATGGACCCAACTATTGCGGCCTTATGGGGAATAAGGGGAAAGCGAAATCGGGCGATTACACTGGAACATTAAAGACTGTGATAAAATTAAGCCGCAATTCAGGAGATAGGGAAAAGAAAAAACAGAAGACGTCTTTGAAGATGACCTTCCAGAAGACCAAGCCCAGATCGGGGAAACTGGCGCCGGAAGTTGGTGAGGCAGTCGGCGAGGACTACTACACCATAGAGAGGCGCGAGGTAAGCATTTAGTTGTTCTATTTTCATTTGTTCTATGGATTAATTTACTTTTTCATTACAGCCCATGTTAATCCACTGCTAAACATAGATTTCTGCAATTTGTCAATTGCAGTTATTTTTTCTTTTTTTTTTTCTCTATCTCCAGTTTCAGTTTCCCTCTATCGCTTTTACGGGATATTTGTCGTATTTAAAATAAAATATTAAAATTATATCACTAGTAACACTATCAAAATTACTAACACTCTCATTACTCCTCCAAGTAAGCTTAAAATGCTCGCGTTAGGAGTGGTTCACCAAAGTAACCGAATGGTGGATTCGAACCCACGACTTTCTGAGTTTTCAGTCCCACCTTAACCATTATAATTGTTATAAATGGTCAGATGTCGTGTAAAAGGTCAGATGTTGTTGTGAGCCTTACATATGGCCCGAGTTTTCGACAATGCAAACCATCTTCCAATTAGTGATCTTTAACTAGTCACTATTTACCCGACTGCCCCAGGAGGGTAATGTTTTTCCGAGTGTATGTATTTTTTTTTATAGGATTGGGTGGCAAATGAGCAAACATTCCATCTGATGGTAAGTGGTTGCTGTAGCCCATAGACATCTACATCTATCCTCGTTTGCGAATCAAAATGAAGATGCGTTTTCACCTGTGAGGACTAACATGGAATGCCTCTTTTCCAATAAAAAG